ACATTGCTGAAAAACGAGTTAAAGAGTAATTTTATTGCGCGTTTTTACCACCCAGGAGTCAAGCCTGTCTTGCAACAAATAAGGTTGTTGCAGGTTATTGTTGCAGAAAGTAGAGAGCAGTTCTATCTTTTTCAACAAAAACTGTACATATTGCGGGTTTTCCAGTCCCACGTTCCAAGGGTTCTATAGTTTCCTCCGAAGAGTGAGAACCCTGGAAAGGAGCTTTAACTGAGGCAAATCTTTTTGGAATTATGTGATGTAAATCTCGTGTATGAAGTGACTCCCGCGTAGTTTTGTCCAATCAGAAGTCAATATTCACGCTACTTTCAACAACCTGTATTATGAACGCGGGTAGTAAAACGCACAACAAAGCTTTTAAAGTCGTTTCGCAGCAATGCTGCCAAGTAGCACGTTTTTGTTCCCCGTTTAACGGTAGCTTTAGGAGGACATCTCTCTTACGCAGATATGTGTTCTGGTCCCAAAGATGTCCCTTCACAGGTTCGACTATACAGTAGAAAGCGGACAATAGGGACCTTAAGCAACTACGACGACGGCAGTGCAAACATCACTAAAACAATGAATATGCGTCCTTTTAAACTTTTTCGCGTCTATTTGGAACCGCTCAATTCGTCAAATGTAGCCGACTTTTCCTGGAGTTGAATTCTTAAGGGCTTTATCCATGTTCAAATAGAGAAAGGAAAATTTGTCGTGGTATGTCCACGTCCTACATAAAACGTCGCATTGGGAGGTTTCATGTCGTGTTCGTGCAGTGGACGTCAAAAAAATGTACTAAAAAGCTTGATGCACGTGCAGAGCTGTTGTTTTGCTCATAAACCCATTTTTTTTTTTTGCGTTGTCGTTGTCGTCGTCATCGTCGTCATCGTCGTCGTCGTAGTTGCTTAAAGTACCTAAAACGGACACGAAGGGGACATGCATGCCGTGGTTAAAACCCATTATTGTCATCATTTGAACAGGGTAAATGTCTATGATTGTGACTGTCAAGGAAATAGATAGCGTGTAGTTGGCCGGTGTCCGTAAAGTGGGCTTGAGGAAGAGTTTGTGCCTTGGGGCACAAAAAAAAGGTGTTCGTTTTCCTCATTTACACGTGTACATTCTAAGCGGTTTAATTTCAAAGAAAGATATGAGCTTTTCGTCGAGACAAACGGTGCTATCCGTTATATGCGAGTGTCCGTAGAATGAGGTTCCACTGTATTTGCACAGTTAAACAGCTCCAATCGAGCAGTGGCAATTTAGTAGCATTCTTGCAATCCTATACATGTTCACATATGTTCAGGGGAAAGTGACCTAAACCATACCTTGTCTAGCGACATATAACAATGTATTCTTTCCACATATTTTCTTGAATTATTCTAAATCATATAACAATTAAGAAGCAAAACTTAATATTAAACTTCAAAAAATTATACCGAAAATGAAGCCACACACGTGATTTCTCGGCACTCTTCCACTGCTGTGTTCTTGTCTTCCTTTTTTCTATTCTTTATTTGGCCAAATCTGTCACTTAAGCAAAAGGCTGCACATATCTTTGTCCTTGAATATAATGGACCCCTGCGGGGTCCTATGATTTGAAAAGTCAGATGAAACAAAGACAAAACTCAGTTCCCCAGTTTTCGGCCCGTAAAAGGGTATCACTCCGATAAACCATACCGGTATGCGCGGGGCCAAAGGATGTATTTGTTAACCCCTCTTGGACTGAAACTAAGTGCCAATTTTCAAAGTTTTAGGTTTGAAAGGGGTACTTTTCTGTGTGTATTGAAACCAGGATCTAGATTCGGGTAAGAGTTGTTGCTATATAATAATCACTTGGGAACATCAGGTCCGGTCTAAAATAGGGTAGCCAGCGCCACAGACGGAACTAAACTCCTGGTTAAGTCGGTGCTGTGAAACGGTGATGGGATCCTTGTTTTGGGCCCCAACATATGTATTAGGATTTAATTACGCGCTATGATTGGCCTGTCAAAAAAGCCATTGTCAATTTGCCGATCAGGCTGAAGGGAAATTCGCCTTTTCGTTGAGACAATTCATTGTGTACGTTGGGGGTCGAGAACAAAGACATCGACGCTGCCTCATAGAAGTTACTAGGCGAGGTTAGATTACGTCTGCAGTGGCGGATCCAAGGGAGGGACCCCCCCCCCCCCCCCCCGTTTGTGACCCAGGGTTCAAGAAACATGCCCCACATTAGGCCTTTCCCGATTGTGCTCGTAAAATGCTGGAAAGTTTCTCACTGGAATGCCAAAAAGTTGCTAAAAAATTGCCCCCCCCCCCCAAAAAAAGATTTAAAAAAATAAAGTTTTCCATGAAATCGTTGGCTTTTTCTTGCTTGATATGTGCTCTAAACCTACTTTTTGCTCAATAGTTGCTCAGGAAGGCAAAATTTGTTCAAGGTTGGTATAGAACCGCAAAAAGTTGCTTAAAAGTTGCCGACCACAATCGGGAAAAGCCTACCCCACATCCCCCCATCAAAATTCTCAAGGAGTCTCCCTTCCCGGGGAGTGTGCGTGATTTAGTATCTTTTCTTCCTTTAATTGGAAAGAATAATTATGTCCCTGTGAAACCAAGTGCTTATCAGTAAATGTCCATATATATGGTATGAGTAATTTAATGGTTATCTTAGTTAAATAATACAGTCCTATCCTTCTACAGTCAAACATTTATTTTAGTAGTCATTCGCTAAGAGTAGGTATAAGTCTGAACGTGTTTAAATTACAGTGGTAAAGTTAATAGGACACTTGCACGATGAAAACTACTAGAATCTTTCAGTTTGTTTCTTTCTTGTGCAGACTAAGGCAATTGTCTGTTAAACCTCAGCGGGATTGACTAATTTAGATGAAAAAGCGGAAGCAAAATGAACTCTGGTACAGTCTAGCCTCCACTAACGGCCACCCCTCCAAAACAGCCACCTTCCTACAACGGCTACTTTTTTGGCGGATTGTCCATACATTGATTCTTGTTTAAGCCTCTATAAAACGGCCACTTTCTTCTGCCCCCAAGGTGGCCGTTCTGGGGAGGCTCAACAGCAGTTGTAATCAAATATCGTCACCGCCAAAAATGGTCTTTTTGGCCCTATACTACAATAGAGAGGAGAAGTCGATACGTCACCTTCCCATGGCACACAAATTTTGGATGATAACAAACCGATAAAGTTACTTAAAAGTCTATTCGCACCATTTCAAACTTCACCGACCTTATTCAATTTCATTTAATTTGGCAAATCTTGGCGAAATTTTCCTTGGGACCCTATCTATCGTAATCTAAGTTTAAAAAAATGAATGCGAAAATTTTTCTGTTGTGTTCACCTACTCCATAAACGGGGCTTTGACATGAGAAAGTTTCATGTCGTAGTGCTGCAACGATTGCAAAGAAATGTACAAAATAGCGTGATGCTCGAGTAAAGTTGTTGTTTGTTACTATACAGGGTGTCCCAAAAGTTCGTTCCTCTAATTTCATGCACTATAACTTTTGATCAAAACTTTATTTGTACATGAAATTTCTTGAAGATGTTTATTTCTCTATCAAGTACATGTATTCAGAATTTCAGTGACTGTCTAGCCTGCGTGCAGACGATAACTAAACTCTGATTAGTACCGTCTGCGAAGCAGCGTAGAGATCCTTGTTCTGGACCACCAACGGACTCAACGAATTACCGGAAGTGCGTTTCGAATTCCCCTTCAACCTGATTGGCGATCACGACAAACAAAACAAAGGCCTTTTTTAACTGGCCAATCGTGGCGCGTACTCAAATCTGGGTACACAGCTGGAAGTCCAGAACAAGGATTTCGGCGCTGTTTCGCAGACGGAGTTAACCAGAGTTTAATTTCGTCTACGCGCAGGCTAGTGACTGTCATGCCCTTTTTGTTTTTTTATCACATTCTGTAGCCGTTGGGGCATGAAATGGGATACGAGCGTTTGGATCCATTTTGAGCTTTTTTATCACCTGATGCGCAGGTCCAGTTCAACCCCCAAACAAAATTTGTTTAGTTTAGGCGGCCGAAAAAAATAAATTTGGGGCATTCATCCAAAAAAGAAAATCATCCTGGCCCCCTTCCACAGCAAGGCTTTTGTACTTCTTTACCACTTTAAAACAAGCAAGGCGTTAATTGGTAGAGGTTGATTTACCAGCATTTTTGTGCTAGTACTAAGCAGAGGTTTTTTTTGCCATCTCAGGGACGTCTTATTTTAAACATTTTAAACAGCTTTTCATGACCCTTTTATTTGGCTTGCTAACTATGTGAGACTGAGCCTTCCTTGTCGAGTCTCCTATTTTGTATCTAGCCTTCTTTAAAACTATTTTAGCTGCTTTATTCAGGCCGTTTGGTCGTCCCCTTAGTTTCTTGCCTTCAAAACCTTCATTTCTCCATGATCATTCTACCACGCAACATTCGGGTTTCTCCGTTTTTTTTAGCAATTTCTACAACAGATAAGCCAGTAAATCAAGGTATAAAGGCTTATTCTCTCACGCAGCTGAACGTTTTTGCGTTGAGGGGGTTTATCTTTCGTGATATTCACAAAAACAAGGAAGGAGTTCGAGCAATTCGGGTTATGAAATGCAAAAAATATGTGGCTGGAAAATCTACTCGCGCACGGGCACCTTTGGCGCCGGAAGTACACAAATGGAATATTCGAGTCAAAAGATGGTACAAAAAGTATGAAAATAGTGAATTGTATTGAAAGACAAAACTTTTGTTGAAATGATTTGCCTACCAAGTCCAATCGTAATGAAATACAGACTTATCAAGTAGAGGAACGAACTTTTGGGACACCCAGTAAAGATTTTTTTTTTGCTGTTTTCCTCGCCGTAGCCGTCGTCGTTTTTTTTTTTTTTGTAATCGAGAAATACTGCCACCATGGTAACCTGACGTCACTCTTCTCCTCTCTATTTTCTGTGTTTCATCGATTTTTTCGCATTACCGCTTCAAGTTTTTAGCATTTTATCAATCATGATATCAACAACAATTTTCGTCTGTGCGACACCAAAGTGATTATGCTGTGCCATAACACTTGAATTCTCCCAGAGTGTGGTAGCCTTCCTCGTTACCTTCACCAGTATCTCCAAACCTGAGCTGTATAACCGGAAGTTTGGTCTTGTCAGTCAGGAGACCGCTGTCTTCACACCATACACCGTCATTCGCATCACAGTTACAGCCATAACCGGGGTTTGCACATCCGTCGGTCATCCCGCAAGCGCATTTATAACTGAGATTTGTTCCGCCCCAGTAAGTCATCATAGTAGAATCACGTGATACCCACCAATTTACTATAATCGACTGGTACATCACTGCATTAAAACACTCGTACTTGATGAAATGCTCGCCATGAGACGAGACTGCGGTAAGACTGACCAGTTGAGATACGTTCGCCCCAGTGTAGTGAATGACACGTGAGTAGCTGCCTGCAGCTTCAAATCCATGCACAAAAGTCCTGTTCTCACTGTCGTGACTGATGACTGTAACGCCAACTCCATTATTGTTTACCATGTCACAGTACACTGAGAATGGCTCCAGATGTCCCTCGCCATCTGGATCAATATCGTAATTTCCACTTGTCGCTGTAGGGTCGGCTTTCTTTAAATGGCTGCATGACGCAACTGTAGAAAGAAGGTATTCCACTTAGCAAACGCTTGTCATGAATGTTCAACTTGGTGGCGTTTTATGCATTTATGTCACTTCAATAAGCGTATGCAAGAAGTTCAACGACTAACATCGACAAATTTCCGAGATTTCCTGACGGTATAAAATAAAGGCGGCTAACTTACACTTTAAGGTAGGCGTTCACGTGACCTGTTAGCACGGAGAATACCGCAGCACAAAAAGTTTATTCAAAGGCAGGAAACGTGTTCCTTTTAACGCATTATTCTTTCTCAATCTGATATCTCAAAACTTAAAGCATGGAATTTTATCGCGATAGTTACAAACGTACATATCTTGCTTGGACTTCGGAAGTCTCAAAATTTGACTTTTCCCGACTGTCTAAGAATTCGGCGCAGATACAGAACTACACGAGCTGGCATCGCAAAGGGTAAATTATTTGTAGAGTGTAGCGGTTCGTCATACATGACAGAAGCGGGATTCTAAAAGAGCACTTTTAGAAAAGGGTATTAGCTATTTATTTATGGGATAACAGAAAAATCAGCTATCGCTGATCGCGTACGCAAAGATATCTATTCTCTGGGAGCCAAAATCGATGTTAACGTAAAACCCGTCTTTATAAGCAGAAAACTGTCACAAAACCTTGGTTTCAAGGAAAACAAGCCCCCGATCGTCTACACTCAATGCGTTGTATACTTATTTCAATGTGATTTGTGCGATGCAAATTATGTCGGGTACACTGCCCGACACTTATATCAACGCATAAGTGAACACCGTTATTCAGCCATCGGGAAACACCTTGAAACACAGCATGGCAACAACAGAACAAAGACTGACCTCTGACCATCTTTTTAAAGTTCTGAGGAAATTTAACAGCAACTTTGATTGCTTAGTCTACGAGATGTTATACAAAAAGGACATCAAGCCTTCTCTTAACACGCAAGCCGACTCCATTCGCGCCAAACTATTTACGTGACACTTTCGTACATTTTTTTTTTCTCTTATTGTGTTTCTTACCTTGGGAATTATATACCCACTGGACCGGCAAATATTTTATGTATTGTTTCAAATTCTATATATTCGTTTTACAACTTATACTTTTTCACTTTTCAACTTGATAATGGCGTAACGTAGCGCCGAAACGTCGTTCACTTTTTTAAATGTGTTTTAAATGTATTTTAAAAATCTTTTAGCGTTTAACTTTTTGATCAAATAACAGATTTTGCTCATTTTAAAACGATATGTTTCATCTAAAATCTTTCCTGTCATGACACACCAGAGGTTTTGAGATATTTTAACCAATCATTTATTAATGAAATCACAGACTGCTCAGCTGATTTCTGTCTTCAACTCGATTTGCAAACTTCAACAAATTTGATGTTTTTCCAATTTGCACCTAATATGTAAAGCGCAATCTTTCAAATAAAAGCAACTCTCCTAAACTTTATTCCATAATGCCCCGATAAAATGGTATCTAAATCGCCTCTAAAACAGCTGAGATAAACTCAATTACATTTTAAAAGATGTGTAGAACAGGAAAAATCTTTCTCCATGAATTTATTCATGAATAGGTGTTCCCTACGGCCTTAAATAAATACAGACAAAAAATTGGATTCCGATTGCGTATCTTAAACACCGCGCTTACGCATAGGACAGTATCAAAGTCAAGCACGCGGAAGGGGGATAGGGGAGCGGGGGAGGTTACTCTGGATTTTAAGTGACGGGAAGAATCGGAGGATATTTTTAGGCTTGAATTTTTCGATTCCGAAATTTTGGGGGGGTAGGAAAATTTGGCAAATATTCTCTTGGGTGGTTTGACAATCTGAAGGTGCCCGCGTGTGTCGACCGCGTAATTCTGTTTGTTTTTTTGTTGTTACTGTTGTTGTTGTTGTTGTAGTGTTTGGCCCAGCTGGAGGGGGGTTAATTTTTAGTCCGTTGATTCTTTTTTGGGGGGGGGGGGGGGTGTTGGAAACCGTACGGAATTTTTTGGATTTCGCCCCAATTCCATCATCCCCATAATCACTTGAAATCCAGAGTACCCGCCACACTCCTGGAGTCAAGCGATTATTATAAGGCTCTATACCTTTACAAGTTTCTCCCTCAAAACCATTACGGCAAACGGCGATAGCCTTTATCCGTGAAGCCTACCTGACGCAGGAAGTTCATCCCTGGGCAAGGATTACTGTAGCAGAGGTTCTGCTGCAAAGCATAATTTTACGTTATACATATGCATGTCTTGTCCCGTATTTTGGATCACTTAACTGACGTCAATTGCAAGGAACTACTTTTACAGTTTTACATTTGAGCCTCCTTTGTATTCCAAACAATCAAATTTTTTTGTTGTTGTTGTTTTTCGATTTTCATAGTTTTTGAGGGGAAAATGACTTCACTCCCTCCTTTTTCATCCATTTCTTCCTCCTCCCTAAACTTGGTGTAAAAGTTGGCGACGGGCAACAAACGACCCTTGAACTTAGTCGTAAAGGAAGTATCTGACCTTTAGAGCTTCGCCTCTTGACACTAACGAAAAGGGCGCAACTACCGAACGTATGTCACACATAGGAAGATTTTTATGGAGGGAAAGCCTTTACACCTACTAAGAATCTAAGACAAATACTCTACCTTCTATTAACAGAAAACTCGTTCCAATATTGTGGTTACGTAGCAACTACTTACAAGCCCATGGAACAGCCATGAAAACAGAGATAGCCGTTGCGTTTGCTAAAATCTTCAAGGCCAGAATCTAGTAAACCAAATGTTGAGACAGAGATAGACTTGTACTGAACCGATTGAACCGCTGTTTTGGAGAAGATATATTGACGATGCATGTGTTCCCTATGGAACACAAGTCTAGACAAAATAGAGAGCTTTCTGAAAAAGGCAAATAACTTTCACTCTACTTTAAAATTCACCGCTGAGATGTCAAAAACATAGATCTCTTTATTGGACACAAAAGTGTACAAAGGGGTTAGATCAGATTATTATGTTCTTCATTGGCTAATTTCTCAGTCATAATCACGTGACCCGGGATTATTTTCCCATATACAGGTTCTTTAAACATTAATATCTGAGAATACTCTGTCGAAATAATTGAAGAATATACATAAGTTTAAGCAAAAGCTGTAACAATAGCTGGTCAATTTTGTAGTGTTGTCAATTATCGTTTTACTGAAACACATATAACCGGGAGTGACAAGTATGCAATTTAATTAGGTTAGCTTTGGGCCGTGCTTAAATTCTATTTCTTAATTTTTAGTATGTTTAAGATTGGAGAATTTGCTTTGTATGAGAATTTATTTCTCCCAATTATTCTCCAGTCAAGCACTTTTTGTATTTTTTAAGTAAACCGTTGACTTTAACTCTTTTTTTTTTTTTTCTTTATGAAACTGACAACGTCGTACCAATTAACTGGCTGAATAGTTATATGCTATGTTATTAAGTTACGCTGCAACATACTATATTATAGCAATCGTGCTGTGTATGTGAAGAATCGGTTTTGAGCTCGCAGTGCCTTGACAAGTCTTTGCTGAAGAGACCATTTAAAGGAAATAGTGCGTCTGCAAGTATAAGGCCGGCCACTACGTATCTACGTGTTCATGATTCCTTTTCCAATAATTTAATTTCAAAATCACAGAGACTATAAAATGTTTATTTCCTATGCCAATGCAGCCTATAGTTTAAACGGCAAGTATTTTATGCAACCCATTGGTTCAATTAAAACTGCCACGACCACAGCCAGATTTATCCAAATCACTGGTAATTGTTGCTTAATTCATTTGTCTCAATCTCTTAACACTTCAGTCGGTTACAGCTTAGCTCAGTGAATGCATATTTTTGGAATATGCCTAGATAAAATGATTATTTAAGTCATTTCTTGTAAGGCCTATCATTTTCTCTCCACGAATACCATTATTCCTGTCTTGAAGTTTCGAGTTCATACTTCAACTTACTTAATAACCACTAAATATCAGAGGCACCCGACGACTGTTTTCTGTAAAATATCTGTTTGGAGAACCAAATATTGCCTAGAATTTTCTATTACTTTAGGACGGCTAAAAATCAGCTATAGGTGACAGTTCCATTCACGTACATTTTTACATTTCACTTTTCAGGTCAGGCAAACCTAAAAAACCTAAAATTTTCAGATTCAAAAATGTGATGAAGACAGGAATAAGTAAAATTATCACTTTATTATTAATTCGGTAAAATAAAACTGAAGCCCTTTTAATTTCGGAAAGACTCAACGGTGACCGAACAGATACAAATTTTATAGCTCCGCTTAGAATGCAATATATTCTAGAGTTCTAAAAGTACTCAGGATAGCCTAAAGAGTGTTTTCAATGTATTTATATGGGAGGAAACCGTCGTTGGGTGCCCCTGAAATATGTCATTTACCAGCATAAACCACTGAGGCAATACGGCCAAATGAAAGCCACATGAGCACAATTACAGTCCTTGTAACAAAGGCCATGTTTGTCCAATTCGAGTTAGTCGTTGAAGGTACGACTCGCCTGTTGTTATGGACTGATCCTGTAAATTAACAAACAACTTATTTATCAACATTTATTACGTGATTTTATCTCAGTTCAACTAAAAATAATTCATGGATGACACAGCTAAAATCAGCGTGAGTCTACGGATCCTGAGAGATCTTTGGCGTAAAAATAAAAGAATAAAGAAGTAAGGAATATTCTAAGCATTAATAGACGTCTTAATTTTCACCACTTTACGTAATAATTCAAGGCAATAATCTAGAAAAAACAACATACATTCGCAGGTGTTAGAATCAGGGTCACAAAAGCATTACTTATTAGTTTTCGTCCTTGCCTGCCGTTCAAGTTCCTTCAGGGGTCCATGTAAACACATTAACATTTTTTAATCAACGTTCTGCGATGAATTCGTTCTCTTCTTGTGCAGTTGAGGGAACAAAATTATCTTTGATGAGCTTTGTTCATCGTAGTAACTATATCCCCATGAAAAGTCGATTCTTTACGTTCTTCTATCTTGTTGCGCATGATTTTCATGTTCAGCCTTCCAGATAAGTGTCCGGTGCATGATATTGTCGTGTCATGACTCTGCGACAACTTATAAGCTTGGCAACATAAATTTTTAAACCACCTCATGCAGATTGCATACGTTAAAGACCGTACGCGAGTAAGAACTTGTTTAGCGTAAAATCTGAATCAGGTTCTTATTTTCTAAAATCTACAAAAAAATATTCTGTACGTGAGGATCCTCTTTAGAGACAAATGAAAGGTACCCTATCACTCCAACTGCAATGAAATGATATGCAGGTTTTACCCAGGGGATGAGTTGAATACCACACTAAATACTCTTAGCTGCAATGTATTTTTTTTTGTCTTCACAAATAAGGACCTACTTTAAGAACATAAATAGCCTAACTTTGTGCCATTTACTATCAGTTCATTTTGGCCGAAAAATGCAGGTTCTTACCCGCGGGTCTTTTTTTATTATTGTTGTATTTCTTTTTCAAACAAGAGAGAATGAGCTAGCTCGGCTTGAGTCCAAAAATACAGCTCATCCACTTTAACTTGAATTCAAGGCTGGAGGACCAACACAGAAAAATATTTAACTATTATTCGCCGAAGGCGAAGTTAATGTTGATCGAGGCGAGCGCTGTTTATCTGCAGTGTTCTTTGCCTTGTTAACTTGCTGGCAAGTATCAGTTTCGAAAATATTCGCTTTCCTTTTTTTCTCCATGAATTAAAATTTTATTTCTAGACAAAATTGGTCTCGCAAGGAAATCGCGAGTTCACAAAACAGCGACAAAGTGGCCTTACGTTTTCCGCTGTAGTGGCAAACATTGCTTCGAGCGTATGAAAGTCAAGTACAGTAAATCACGCTCTTTAAACACCATGAAGTCTTTTCTTACCTTCAAAATCATCAACACTAGGATATACTTGTATTTAAAAAAGTTCTTACTCTGAAACTTTGGCAAAACACCCAGTTCACGACAGCGATTTTGTTTTGCTTAACATTGATCATGATCGTTTAGCGCGGTGAATTTAACATCATAGTCCGTGATAGCGAACCAATCAGATTTCTTGAATAACCAAGATCACTGAGTGTGTAAATACTAACAAAGGATACTGCCCTTGCGCATGAATGCTTAATGACTTTCAGCAGATGCCTCTCAGGTAATATCAGGGTTTATTATTACACTTTTTCCCGAGGTTGGAGGTTGGTTCACATGAATGTCATTTTTAATTTTACCACGAGTGTACGTTTGTAGCCTTGGAGACCTAAGCAAAAACGTTTTTGAATGACGCGCGTCAACCGGAAGTGAACGTTATAACATAGCGCGCGTGCTTGCCCTATATGAGTCCTATTGAGCCGCTATGAACAAAATCTTTAATTTATTTACGCCCGCCCGTGCGTAAATGAAGATTTTTTTCATGATGATGTGTTCATCTGTGTTTTTCGTCTCCTTATCGTAAGTACTAAGTACCCAAAAATCTACGGCAATGATGAAAATCTTTCTAGCATTTTTGGAATTGAGCTTCTGGCCACTCAAACCAACAGCAAAAGCGGTGAAGATGTTTCGCAAATAATAGAGCCTGAATCGTTGAAAACTCTGCCGTAAAGACTGACAAAAAGACCCAAACTGGTCTGTTTCGGGAAATATCCAATTTGTTTAATGTGTCCTCCGTTTTCAACGCTTGTTTATCCTTTACAAAACAAGTTATTTAGAACGAAGAATTATGCACCTCTGTTATCGCCGAAAAATCCGACTGAAGCAGGAAAATTTCACTTGCAAAAACAAGACAAATTATGCAAGAACCGAGACATAAATTTATTACTCACAAAAACAACTGCTGCCAGGTCTTCTCAAGAAGCCGTAATGACCAGTCATTGTTCGTGAATGAATATAAAGTAAAATGACAGTCGTCTTCCCTAAAATGACAGTTTTTTTGATTTCGCCGAGCAAAGCATAAACATCTTTTCAGTCGCGTCAAACCCATACTCCACGACTTTTTACGAACGTGTGAGTATTTTTAATTAACTTTAGGTGGACTTTAAGACTCTTTTACCTTTGTTTCTGCTTAATTTCCATTGATCGTTAACAAATAAATAAGCAAATTTTCTTTCTCAGTTTCTTTTTCAAAGAACTCCTTCAAAGTCGATGATTGTGTCGTGTTTGTGACCAGCCAATAGAAGCGTATGTGTTTCTGCGTCGCTCGTTACGAGAATTTTGCAGGTTAATCAAAAAGCAAGCATGTCAGCAAGACATGCAAAAAAAAAAAGCAAGAGTTGCTCTCGGCTGCGCCTCGAGCTACTCTTACCCATCTTTCGTGCTCTCCAAACTTCCCGCGTGCATCCATAACTCGATATACGCACGCTAAGCATGAACAAATTCTTAATTTATATTTATTGCCCAATCATCTCTGATAGAGAAAAGAAACTTAAGAAATACAAATTTGGTAGCCGGGCATGGCGTAGTGAAACTGTCGGGAAAAAGCCTTAATTCGGCGGGTTGACGTTCTTCGCTATATATAGAACCCCACTGCTTTTGATGAACAGAGTTTTATACCGGAATGCTCGCTTCAAGGTCCAACACCTTAGCCATTTATATTCCATTTTGACAGAAAAGGCACCGCTTTGGTATACCTTCTATTGATGAAAGCTATTCCTTTCCGGGGGGGGGGTACTCCCTGTGATGACCTATACGGGGAGGCTCCGCCTGAATGGGGTATCTTGGGTCTGTATCATCAGAATCACACAAATATTGGGAAAACAAAGTTCTTTCATCCTGTAGTCTTCGCTGCAAAAGTAGTTTATAATAATATTAATAATAATAATAATAATTATAATTATAATAATAATAATAATTAAAAATACTTGTTTTAAGAGGAGGTAGCCTGCGTAGCATGGCGGTTTTGTCGAGCCGGGCGCAGGAGCGGCGTAGCCGCGAAATTCGCGCGCGAAGCGCGCGAGAACGAGCGGCGAAGCCGCGAGAAAAATAAAAACCGCCTGCCCGGATTCGTGGCCTTTTCAACTGCCGCCCCCTTCAACTCATTTTGACATCCTGTTGACAACTTGTTTGGTTTCAGTTTTCCCAGCCAATCAGAAGTAAAGTGTTGACAGCCTAAAAACGACACAAAAGCTCGTGATATAGTGTAAAACGTGACCTTGGCCGGAATTGGAGTTTGCTTGAACAAACACGGATTTTTTCTTTGTGGCTATCTCGCCCATTGGTGACTGCATTGCGTTCTAGACTTGACTGAGTAGATCTTATTTTTGCTGCACTAAGTCTTACATTTATTTAGAGGTCATGGAGTTGGTTTGTTTAATCCGTATTGAGTAATTATTTCCTGTGGTTAATGTTATTTTCGCTAATTAGAATTTGTTGATCTCAGATACAGTTGTAAAGTAGTAATTTCTTTGACCACTCTTAAAGCCTAAAAGCTTTTATTACGGCTAAATAAATATTTTAGTTTCTTTGGTCTTTTCCGACTAAAATGCCTGGATCTGGACAACTACAAACCAAGGAGCCTTGGTTTGTAGTTTCTTTGTCACTGCTTTGTCCGTGAATGTTTTGACGCTGGGCCCGGCTTTTTAAGAGTTGTTTGCAGGATGTTGTATTTTTTTTACGTATAGCGCGATCTTCAGATTTGAGCTGTAGCTTAAACTTAAGCTACACCAAGCAAAAAAAATGGAGAAATTACGCTGTGCGTCTTTCTTCTACCGTATGCGATTCATCGACCACAATCGCGGACACCGTTCGATGTATTGCGCTGGAGTGCGTTATTCTCTAACACCGAGTAATAGAGAAAATTGAGGTGAACTTTCTCGAAGCACTGAAATTTACTGTTTCTGTCATAAGGTCCATTGCTTTACAGCTCAGCGACAACATTTCAGATATCTGGTCGTCGATATTACTTTTTAGAGGGCAAATTGTGATCATACAGGTTTTCGATGAGGATATTTCTTCTTTGGCCATAGCAAAGACAGTAAAGATCATGCTCTTGCCAAATCTTGTTGACAAAATTTCCATGACATCTCTCCTTTGAAGAAGACTGTAGAGGGCCATTTCCTGTTTAGGCTTCAATACAATTGCCCTGTTTTCCCGTCAAATATTCAAGAGCGACGACACTCCGGTCAACGCTTCTTAGATATTTTGATTTTGTGTTGCGGAGATGATTTGTTCAGTCTCTCGAAACTCTCCCATGGGAGATTACCAAAATATTTGATTGACAGGCGAACATTCCGAACCAATCGGAACGATCCGTACGCTGGCGTGCGGACCGACTCAAAAAAGCCCCCCGTCCGTGCAGGCGGTTTTTCAAGTTGCTTCCGCCCCAATCTCCTCGCGGTTTCTCTGCCCTCACCCAACCAAAACCGCCATGCTACGCAGGCTAAAGAGGAGGCCTCCATCACTAAGAGTGGTTTTCAGGGGGGTCCTCTATTAAAAATAAAATACTAAACCTAATTAAAAATAGCATTAAGAATCCTAAACTGAAATATTAAAAGTGAGTAGCATAAAACCTAAGAAGAAGTACCTAAAAACCTATTCAAATTTCTTTTAAAAACATGTCCTGCATTGGTCTTTTTTAAGTTCAATAGCCACGGAAGCCCAATCGTTGAAAGCTCTAAAATACGTAGTCCGTTTTCCCCATTCCGTGCGCGGCTTGGGAAGTCTAGGTAGAAACCTATTCCCACTATTATAGTTATGTAACTGAGTTAGAGGGGTCCTAAAAATATCACAGTGTTCTGGAACATCTCCCTTGATTGCTTTCTTAACTGTAAGACATCGACGTCCAAAGCGCCTTCCATGGAAACCATTTCAACGATGTGAGGGCCTCGGCTGACGCCGCGGACAATTTGCCACCTGCGATCCTCTTGGCAAAGCGATTTTGGAAAGTCTGTATTTGTTGCATTTCTAATGTCAAGCCAGGCTGATCTCCCCAAATGGTGTCCATATAATCCATGTGCGGAAGCACCAACCCATTAGACTAAGATAGGCGAGTTCGTTTATCTAACATCTGTAAAATACGGTTAAACACCAAGAGCCGATGGCCAAAACCGCAGTTTAAGACTTGCTGCTGATCCGAGTGCCACAATTACTAACTTAACGGATTGAAAAAACGAAATGATGTCGACAACAAATTGGATCCGTAGTAAAAAACTGCATGACTAAATGAAGTTATCTTTTATGCTATGCCATAGCACTTCAGTTTTCCAAGAGTATGGTACCCTTGGTTGCTGTTTCCTGCATCACCATGCACGAGCTGTTTTACTGGTAGCTTTGTCTTGTCAGTCAGTAGACCGCTGTCTTCACGCCATACTTGGTCATTCTTATCACAGTTACAGCCGTAACTGGGATTTGCGCATGTGTTGTTCATTCCGCATGCGCACTTTCCACTGCCAGGTAATGCTCCACCCCAGTACGTCATCTTAGAAGAATCACGTGACACCCACCAAGCATACCCGCTTCTTAATATCATCGAGTGATAACACTCATACTTGATAAACTGCTCACAGTGTGAGGAGACACTGGTGAGACTGGCCAACTGAGACAGACTCGCTCCTGTGTAATAAATGTCACGTCTGTAGCTGCCACGACCCCCCCAACCGAGGCCGTCACGCACCTTTGTTCTGCTTTCACTGTCGTGACTGATGACTGTGACGCCCACTCCATTCTTGTCTATCATGTTACAGTACACTGTGAATAGAGCCAAACCTCCCTCGCCATCTGGATCAATTACGTAATTTCCACTTTCTGCTTCAAGGGAGAATTTCTTAAAAGAACTGCATGAGTTTCCTGAAAAGAAAATGGTAACATGTAATACTCGGTTATAAACGGTTCACCTGTTTTACACATATTCCTGCCAAAAGTGTCTGAATTTTCCCTTTTCGTTCATTTCGTAAAATATAGAAAATAATTAGCATCCCATAATTCATACAGGTCCCACCCCAAAGTTTATGATAAAAAGGAATGTCTTGCTCGGCGGCAGAACTTCTGAATGTTTTCACTCTTCATAATGTTTAAAGGGAGTTTGTTAAAAAGTTTTGCGCCTGTAAAAAGAAAGGCCCTTTTCTCAAAATTCTGTTTAAGGTGTGGTCGGGATAGCCTCATACTTTGCCTTGTGGAATAATTGTGAATCCCTCATTTCTTAGTCACATATACTCTTCGTTGAGCGACGCATGCACCTTTTCTTTTCTTTATTTAAAAAAAAAAATCCAAATTTTCATTCAGTACCCTTAACTTACATGGTTTACCCTATACAAATAGTTCCAGGAAGCCTATAGGTTATAAGCCCCCGGCTTCTATATAGGCTTTCTTGCCATTACCACTTAAAATATTTGATTTTGTAAATAATTTAGTTAGAATAGTGTATCCTAGAATTAAATAAAATTTCTATATATTGTTGTTGTATTTGTGGTTAATGGCAAAAACAAATAAACGAATGAATGAATGAAATGAACTTACAACCGATATTTTTAAAATTATATTTTTCCGTTTTTACGGTACGATATGTCGTCATGGTGAAAATGTCCCATTCTAGAACGTTCGAAATTCGGCGATGATTTTGCAAAATGTTTTGTTATTCATAGTTTTTATCAGTTCTATATCCTTTCGCTTCGTCAAACATTGATTCGTGAGTTACTCATGAATAGTCAATTTTATTATAAACAATGAGTATTCCTATTTTGCCAAAAAAAAAGTTTAAGTCGACCGATACGAAACAACGGAATTAGGCCACTGCAAAAAATACCATAATATTCTCAAATTGAGACTTGATGTTTTTCAAGTGGCCTTTGTGTGTGTTCTTACCTGTCTCGCAGTTTTCTCCTGTGAAGTCAGAAGTGCAATGACAGAGGTATTTCTTGCTCGTATATCCAGTGAAGCATGTTCCGTTGTTGAGGCAAGGGTTACTGGCACAGAGGTTCTAGCGAAAATATAAAACTCTTTCAATTTTTTTCAGTTTAATCTCCTGAGGTCAACCCAGACATGTTTGACCACTTCATCGGTTCTATTAGAGCAAAAACACTGAAATATCTTAAAATGATGTTTGTTAGTATTCTCTTCTTACTCCGTCTCCCTGTCATCATCATCATCATCATCATCATCATCATCACCATCATAATCGTCGTCGTCAAAATCATCATCATCATCATCATCATCATCATCATTTTTATCATCATTATCTTCGCTATCATCCACACGAAACACTACTAGTGATTCCTACCTCTGCGATGCCTCTGTAGGTCCATCCTTCTCTCGTTTTAAGATCTTGCGGGTTCTGTATGTGATCTGAATCACTAAGCTCACATACAACTTTGTCGTTCACAGGCGGACCAATGTTTACTGACACACATCTACTCTCCATTGAGCATCTGTGATGACACGGCGTGTACACTCCAATAGTGAGATTCAAAAACACGTGATTCCTCAAATAATACCCACTCTCCAGTGGGAGGAACTTAAGGCGTCGACAACTAGCTACAAAATAATAGTATAAGTGGGTCAGTAGTTCAGCTTGTTGGAATGTAAAAATAAATCAAAACAATGATATCGAAAAACTGCGCATGCGCTCAGTCTAATTTATTCATCACCTGTTCTAAAATTTAGGGCCGCAACAAGATGCTCTAAATTTCTTTATAAAGTTGTTCAACTAAAGTGTTAAAGAAACTAAATAAGTTTCTCAAAAATTGCGAAAAAGCGAAAAAGAAAGCAAAAACAACACTTTATTATGATCCTGTTTCCTTTGTTTTACTTTGAATTATTGTCTTAAAAGAAAAAGAAAATTACTCTACAGAAAAAAATGGGGCAAAATAGCATGAAAAGAGGCGAAATGTTTATCTATAGCATACTTTAAACCTCACGCATGATGATTCGTAGTTTTTCAACTAATTACATAAATCTGAATTGTAGTACAACCAGCTCGCCGCTGATCATCGGCGTGTCATTTTTATGTACTAGGAACTAACTCACCGCTGTTCATCGGCGAGATTTTCCTTATGTATATTAGCCGCCTAGTAAATCATTGACTTTATCATTCACATAATAACCGCTCCGTCAAAACAAACATTCTCATAATTGTAATGCTCTGATAACCAGTTTTTATTGTTTTCTTTCAACACTTATTAAGTGGGAACATGGAATGAATATATGATCATATGAAGAATGTTTGAAACATTATTTATGTCGGTGAACTATCAGTGATCTTAGCATTTTCCTATAAAATTTTAACTTGTTTTCGTTGAAAATGCCTAATGCTGGAATAACAACTGTATTTACAAATTTCAGCTTTCACACAATTAGAACTTTTCTATTACACTTTCAAAGGGTCTAATAAATTAACAGCATTTTATGATATCTTAAACTTTGATCAGCGAGACTATCAGACTTTTATTCTTTAGTGTTGAAATGTGTTGCTTGGATTTTGAAAAACTCTCTCGTTGGACTGCAGTGAAAGAAAAATAAAGGTTAGATTGCGCCAGCTCTACTATTCATTACCTTGATATCCAGTGGCGATGCAGTTCAGGCAAACTCTCAAAACAGCATCCACTAGCAAGTACCTTAACAAGTAGAAACGGCAGCCTATCATGGCTAGACGGCTAGCAACGATCTATCAGACTTGGTCAAGAACGAAAGCAGGTCCGAAAGACAGGTGTGGGACATTTACTTGTTTTGCTATCGCTAAATGATAAAATATTCATATTCATAAAATATTCTGGCGCTGTTTTATTTTTTTGTTATCAATACTAGTTATTTTTTAACTAATTACAAGCAACATGGATCTATGCAAAGTCTTCAAAAAGCTCATCTTCAGATTCGGAAACATGCAGACGAAAAACAAATCTTCCAGTTAACATGCAAGAAAGGCCACTCTTCCAGGGAAGGAGTAAATATTTTCCTGCAATTTCAAAAACCCCTTGAAAGTTATTTTAGCTTCAAATAAAACAAAGGGTAAGAAAATTAGAATCATAACAGCTTATAATCAGGGACAAAAGTAGAGTTACACACTTGTCTAAAACGGGTGCTTTTATCAACAAGTTCATTTATTATTTCATTGTATTTAAACGCCGTAAATCCCCCCACCCCCGAATCAATTTTTGCAGTAAAAATAAGAGTTGAGGGTCTAAACTACAACATTTATTTTAGGGGAAGGGGTGCAGGTACACAGGGGGAGTGGATAGTTATGTCTACCACGCAAAAGGAGCCATTTTATAGATTGAAGCGTCTAAATACTTTTGTCCCTCATTGTAGCTTGATATGTCACTAGCCTAATCACGGGGAACTAATTAGGCCGGTGCATATCTGACTGAATTTATGTAAACATGGCTTCAGTGACGCGAGTGTCTACAGGTGCTATGCTAAGTATATCCTGAGTACCAAGACTTTGACCTTCCCCACCCAGGACACTGGGTGACTGTCTGCGCCTCCGACTGAGCTCTGCAATTAACTTGATCATTATCCTCAGCAGAGGCCTGATTCAGCTGGCTAGGGCAAAGTAAGAACCAGGTACTTGCCAATCAAAGCCTCTAGTGAACACGTACTGTGGCTTTCTGAAGGGGTTGTGTCAAAATCCCCTCTCTACCCGATAGTTTTGCCCCCCCAGGCCTGATCCACCCACCCACTGTTAGGGCAGCTGTCCCGGGGCTATCCAGCTGAACCGACCAAGACGGCAAGCTCCCTAGATTTTGGAAACCGCTGATAAAGGAACTAAATCCGCTTGACGCGAGTGACTCTCGACCAAATAAATCTTACGATTATACTCTTTATTATAAGGAGACTCTCTCGCAATATTATTCTTCTGTTAACTTCTAAGCTTTCTTCTTTAATTTCACCTTCATTGATCTTCAACAGCCCTGTACTTCTTTCTTTCTCTTCTCTTTCTCTCTCCATAGCTGTATACTCTTTTCTTCCTTCAGCTCCTTAGCGGCACGCTATTTATTTGTTTGATGTCATTGATAACAGGTTTACATGACATAATAAGGAATTTAAGATTTAAGACTACGGTTAACGGCTACGGTTGGACGAGTACGCGGGATCTGGGTTGAGTTTTTTTGCGCATGCGTGAAAGTTATGGGATGACGTTTTGCTTATCGTCGTGTTTCACTACGGTAAGTTTTGACAGCATTTGTCGTCGTTGTGAAAGAGCTACCACGAGTGACTTGAAAGGTGAGAATTTCGTATGTTACTCAAAGAAATAACACATTTCTTTTTCTTTTCGATTTATTTTCTGAGTTTACCGGTGAGCTTCGTTCGTTTGTTAAAGAAGTGACACTGATTTCTTTCTTTCTTTTTTTTTTTCATTTTATTTTCAGAGTTTACGAAACAGTGCTTGCAGTGGTGCTTGCGTGAATGGATATCCATGCCACGGTGGAAGTTCGTAAGTAAACCGATTGTTTTGTAGTATAGATCGCTGCAAATGCTTCAACATGAAATAGGTTGAAATTTTCGAATGTTTTTAATTGTTTATTTGCTAATTATTAAAAATTATGTTCACTTTTTTGACAGGGTCACTACCTCGGCCGCCACAGCCAGAAACAACAAGTAAGCTTCTTAAGCCCAAATAATATCTGTTCAACCTTACGTGCCTAGCTAAAATATAACTTCATCTTTGGCACTTAGTTTTAAACTAGGATCTTTAACGGTCATAATATGTTAACCTATGATTTTTTCTCATTTGCATTTTAGTGGAACTTTTCGCTGGACAAGCGATAAAGATTATACTTTTGTGAAAGAAGTTCGATTTCTCGAACCGTACCTGTACAAAAGGCGTTCAAAGATTCACCCAGAGATCAGAGGAGCGTTAGGGAACGCTTTCAAAAGATCATTGACTTGTTCAAAGCAAAAGTCCGAAAGGAAGAAGCCTCCAGTGGGATTTCTCCAAAACCACTCACTGAAACAGAGCAACCTGCCGTGGAGATCGTGGAAATAATGGACAGCAGGCAAAATATAGAAGAAGTTGAAGACATCAAGATGGTGAGTGATCTTTTAGGGGTTTAGGATTCTAGTTTTTGACTTTGAATTGCATGATTGAAATCACAGCCTTTATCCCATCCACTTTTGTGTTGAGTTTTAATCTTGTTGGATATGTATTTTCTCGCGTTTGGGAATTCACGCGGTGTTTGCAGTCTGGTATTTGGGTGTTACAGCATAGCATGCTTCTGCAAGCTTCTGCATGCTGTTATTTGTATTATCGTAAGGCATAGCGTATATAAGGCGTACTTTACAGGACAAGGTCACTCGACGGCATCTCTCCTAGCAAATCGTACGTTTTGCTTTATTTTTCTATTGCAGATTTTGTTCGCTTCCGCTGTTTGCTTTCTTCCTTTCTTGATATGCTCTAGTTTGTGCTTATTGAAGTCGTTTGCTTAGCGTGCTTTAGACATTTTCTCAAGAGCCTTTTTCTTTTTATTAATTCACATTTAATTTTTCCACATATCTCTGATCAGTTAGCCTGCGCGCAGACGAAATTACTCTGGTTAACTCCGTCTGCGAAACAGCGCCGAAATCCTTGTTCTGGACTTCCAGCTGTGTACCCAGATTTGAGTACGCGCCACGATTGGCCAGTTAAAAAAGGCCTTTGTTTTGTTTGTCGTGATCGCCAATCAGGTTGAAGGGAAATTCGAAACGCACTTCCGGTAATTCGTTGAGTCCGTTGGGGGTTCAGAACAAGGATCTCTGCGCTGCTTCGCAGACGGTACTAATCAGAGTTTAGTTATCGTCTGCACGCAGGCTATGATCAGTGTGCAGTTTTAATTTATTGTTATAGATTTATTATGATAGTGTTAGTTTCTCTGATATGAATTGTAAGTGACTTATTTGTAATTTTAGGTTATTTAAATCACACTGTTAGTTATGCCGCCCGCTTTGCGGTAGTTGTTTTTTGCAATTACTAACTAATAAACGAGATGCCTATCCCTGAGCTTATAGACTGAAAACCAACTAGCATTAGGAATGTGAGAACACATTAAAATTCAGTGCTGTAAAATGTGAACACAAATTAATAATTGATCCTATATGTTTATAGAAGAAAGAAATGATCCAGACCATGGCAGCTCGAGACAAAGCAATGAACACATGGTCAAAGGGAAAGGGTGTTAAAGATCAAGTGAGTGATGAAGAGGAATCAGGAAAAGATGAAGAGACATCTATGGCTTCAAAAGTTAGGAAGAAAAGGAGAAGAACAAGTGAGGCTCTACAATTTCTTCAAGTCAAATCTGAAAAAGAGGCAGACGCTAGGAAGGAAGAAATAAGTTTTAAGAAGGAGATGGCTGAAAAGGAAGCAGAAGCCAGGAGGGAGGACATTGCCCATAAACGAGAGATGGCTTCCCTTGAAGCAAAGCGCCAGGATCTTATACAGTAACAGTTACAAATGCAGCAGCAACAAATGCAGCAAATGCAAACATTAATGCTTGCAGTTGTATCTAAACTAAACCAAAATGATAAGTAGCTTTGTTCATGCCGTGCACTTGTTGGATT